ACAGATTTCATGCACCAGGCCCCTAGTTATCTTATAATACACCATTTTCCCATCCCTGGTAAATATTCCCATTTACTTGATGGAGTTCGATTCTTCCCATTATAGAAGGTAAGGCAACTCTAAACAGTTTAAAAATTCTCTAGAAGTTGTACACTCCATTTAAATGAAACTCTCCTAAGTCATAGGTATCTAATTTTTAAAAAAAATATATTTTATTGATCTTATACAGAGAGGAAGGGAGATAGAGAGCTAGAAACATCGATGAGAGAGAGTCATCGATCAGCTGCCTCTTGCACACCCCCTACTGGGGATATGCCCGCAACCAAGGTACATGCCCTTGTCCGGAATCGAACTCGGGACCTTTCAGTCCCCAAGCCGACGCTCTATCCATTGAGCCAAACTGGTCCCGGCAGGTATCTAATTTTTAAACTATTGTCTTTTAGAAACTAAACATACCATTTGCTTTTTTTCAAGTGTAAATGATTCAGTTCAGACTTGGGCGTTTGTGAGCTTCTGTGCTGGGTGAGCATTCCAATGACTAAATGGCAGTGACGTTGGCTTGAACATCTCCCACTCCTTTGTGTTCCACCTGCTCCAGGGAAGTTCCCACAGAGCAGGGCGCTGTATCAGAGAGTGTGAGTGCTCAAGAGCCTTCCCCATGGTGTCTTACAGAGAAACGCAGCAACTAAAAGGACTTAATACCATTAGCCATCTCCTGTGCTATGTGTCACAACCTTATGAGATAACGTTTAATCCTAGGTACGATTCCTCCGTTCTCAGAACTATCCTGTGGGGCAGGTGCTAACACTTTTCTCAGGAAACTGAGGCACAAACATTAGATTACCCAGAGCCGATTAACGGGAGTCAGGATTTGAACTCTGGTCTGCTAGTCTGCTAGTCTGTGTACCTATTTATATGAATTGAAATCAACAAGGCTACTTATCACCTGAATTGGCTGAAGTTTGAATCTTCAAAATAGAAAGTTTTTTCCCCCTCTTCAGTCAACATAAGGTCTGTTAAGTTACTAATAGTCATGAATTAGACCTAAGCCTCTGGATTTTTTTCTGATTTGTTTTCAGGACACTCCAAATGTTTGATTTCAGCCTTAAACAAATACATCTCACACACACACACACACACACACACACACACACACACACACACACACATATATATATAGTTTGAATATATAATAATATATACATTATGTATATAATATAAAATATAATATATATTATATATATGTTTGAAGCCTTACAAATAGTGGTACATGTCTCCTTCCCCCCCCCCCCATGACCTCCCCCAGCCTCCCCTACCCCTCCAGCATATGCCTTCACCTGCCCCCTCTCCTCCTCCGTGTCTTGTATCCATTGGTTGTGCTTATATGCATGCATATAAGTCCTTCAGTTGATTTCTTACAACCCCCCCCCCAAAGCTCCCCTGCCTTCCCACTGTAGTTTGACAGTCTGTTCAATGGTTCTTTATAACTATCCCCCCCCCCCCCATTTCTTTTCTTTAAAAAATCTTGCAACTGCAGACTAGAAATAAACATATAGTAACAAAAAAATGTTTGAGTCCCAATTTCAATGTCCTACAGTTCTGAGCCCCATTTCAATGTCAAATAGTTCCTTATGTGTAGATTTCAGCAATGATATCTGGATGATGGACAGATGGTGGCAATGCAGGTCCGACCCTCTCTAAAGATTTTTTATGAAAAATAGTCAAGCTAGGCAAATTGGCCTAGCCTTTGTCTATAGTATTGGATAAAGCAATGCAAGGCATAGATTCTTAGGGCAGCGTTGTGAAAAGCACATCATGCTTAGGTGAATGCAGGGCCGGTGTATACTTTAGTTATTGGGCCTGCTGTCTTCATTAGGTAGAACTGAGCCATGGAGGTGTGCTGCCTTCTGTAAATGGCTAATAGCTTTTAAAAAGTGTTCGGTAACCAGATTAACAAAGTCCCAGTATTCTGAGCTTGACCTGCTGCCCCTCATTTCATCCTAGTGGATTGGGCTGTACACTCAGCGCTTCCAAAGCACCTAGAGACTCAGTTCAACCCCTGCACTCCCTTCAAGCTCTGGACTCCTAGCCTAACTCTTCCTCCTGACACCTGCTAATGTCTACTTTGAAATTCCCAAACTTGTCCTGCATTGGTTTTATAATGACTCTTAACTGAATCACCTATCATACCCAGGATGGACTTTGAGGGAAAACATTATTACCTAGAATTTTGTTCGTTACTTTTAAAGCCACTCTTAAAAATGCAAACAGGCCAAAACTGGTTTGGCTCAGTGGATAGAGCATCGGCCTGCAGACTGAAGGGTCCCGGGTTCGATTCCAGTCAAGGGCATGTACCTTGATTGCAGGCACATCCCCAGTAGGGGGTGTGCAAGAGGCAGCTGATCCATGATTCTCTCATCGATGTTTCTAACTCTCTATGCCTCTCTCTTTCTGTAAAAAATCAATAAAAATATATTTTAAAAAAATGCTAACAGGTGGTCAATATAATCACTTCTTGAAAAGTTTCCATTGGTTGATTCTTGCATGTGTCCTGACTAGGGATCACACACACAACCTTGGCGTATCAAGACAATTCTCTAAGCAACTGAGCTACCCGTCCAGGGGGCAGTCCTAGTTTTCTGTGAGAACACTTGGCAACACATTGGCTATAGAGGGTGTAGATGACTATTGCTAACAACATCTTCGCAAAGTCTCTCTCCCCTTTCCTCATCTACACAAGCTTTGCTCCCGGATTAGTTCTGAATTTATGGACTGTGGCGGATTACCTAATTTTAGTGAATGCAGTCAATTTGTTTGTTCCACTCAATAACTATATTCTAAAATGCAGGCAAGAAGGTCACTCAATGAGCCTAGGACAGCTGTCTGGGTTCAGGGTGCAAGCCTAATGCTTCCCACCAGGTTTTAATGTTGGACCTGAGGCCAGGCTACAGTGGCAGCCTCTGCTGGATCTGGAGACCAGGAAAGACAGACTTTGCTCAGAGCACTTCACAGGGTGAAGAAGTATGATTTAGTTACACTTGTGTATTTTAGTGTCTTGTAAAGTTTTAACGACAAATCAAGGGCTTTTTTTCTTTTTCTCCTAAACCCTCAGCATATGCTGTAGAACACAAGTGCTATAAGTGCTTCCATGGAAAGAAGTTTCCACAATTAAATGAGTTGAAAAACTGCATTTTATATCTATTGTCAACATTCTTGGTGCACCAGAAAACACACCTGCATATAAAGGACTGAACAGTCCTGTAGAAAGAAGCATCTTAAGTTTATTTAACCCAGAACTCAGTCCCTTAATTTGTTTGGTTATGAAGCATTTCCCTCCTATAGTAGCCTCTAATCTTGCTTTGTAGAAAAAATTTTTTGGGGAAAGGGTCTTCTAAATGTTCATCAAGAGTGCCTTCCGTAAATGTGGTACATTTTTAAAAGTTTATATTCTAAAATAGCATGAAAACTTGCTAACAGTGAAGAAAACATCCAGGATATAGGTTGTAAAAGTAAAAATTTTTATTTTGATTGATTTCTCGATGAATGGTTCAATAGAATGCCAGTTTTTAATGGCAAAAATTTGGTTCCAAACTCCATGATGCTACAGAGAGCTACTACTTTCCCCAGGAAGTAGGTAAACAGCTGGAGACAGAAAGCACGACTTCCTAACAGCATGGCAACTTCTTACCTGCGGACCCAACAGCCTGCACCTCCTACACTCTACACGGCACAGAGATGAGCTGGTGACAGAAGTGAGAAGTGGGGAACAAGGTATGAACACAGAATACATGTACGTAAAGACAACAAAAATGCAAATACTCTAAGGATTTTAAAGGATAATTATAGAAAAGAGAACCAAATATTTTACTCAAGTTTTTTAGAGACTTTCTGTAGAGATACAAATATATATCTTTTTTTTTTTATCCAAAAATATGTTTTATACAGATAAATGCTTCTCAATTAAAGATGGGACCAAAGCTATCGTTGTAACATAAAGCATTATTTCCTTTTAAGACTATTTAGCCACCTGAATTTTCAATTTTTTTTAAGGTCAGCGTATTAAATGTTTTCCAAATAGAATTACCTGACACTCTTTTTATAGATATAAATCAAATAGGCATTATTTTTAGAAAGGGTCTGCAGGTTAAGCATTGTTCTTCTAAGATGCTGTGCATATTGAACTTATCACAAGCCCCATTAAGAATCATTATTAATAAACATATCAAAAAGGGCTATGTCAGATTTTCTTCTTTGTAGTAAATATTTAATTTTCTGATTTCCATTTACAAGTGTTGAAAATGCACAAGAAAGATTTTACTTCACAAATACTTTTATGCTAATAAAAGATATTTTGATTCAACAAATATGGCAAAAATCTCCATACTGTAACCAATAGTATATTTTTTTATTAAAAAAAAAAAAAATGTAACATTAACAACCACTATCTAAAAAATAAAGCACACTATTATTTTGGCGAATTTACAAATCTTTTTTCCCTGGTGTAAAGGCTACAAAAATTCCTACAAATTAGAGAACACTGAAAACATATTAAAGTTTGACATCCAACTTTATATTATTTCCATTTTACTCTGAAAGATAACTTAAAAAATATGACCTGGCTGGAAGAGGCCATCTTGCTAATATAAAAAATCAGTGAGACCAAGAAACTGTATCATTGATATGTAGGATTTTTGCAAATAGTTATCTCTCCAAATCATTAGAAAATGCTCAAAGATAAAAAATAAAGTAAAATATGGTGGTGGTCCCTAAACTATTTTAAAGGCAAGTAGCTTAGTCTAAGCTAAAATATTTTTCTCACTCATAGTAATTATCCTCCCCTCAATTGCCCTTTAAAAATACATGAAACGGTACAATAGCGAGAATCAAAGAGCACAAACTGCGTTTTCAAGAACAGGAAAAAAAAAAAAAATCTCTGGAGCTGAAAGATATAGTACAAAGCAGGTTTCTTTGGGGACATTAATCAACTGGATTGTAATTCATTATGAAGATTTCTCTTTTCTATTACGAGGAGAGTCTGCTCCATTTGAAGTTACTGTTCCATTTACACCATTTTCTAAAAAGAAAAAAGAGTCAGTGTTACCCTATTTTATGAAGGAACACAAATATCTTTATACATAAAGGTACCTTCAGAGAAGAAAATTTAAAATCCAATATATACTTTGATACCCTTAGATAAAACGTATTCACCAGTGCGTAATCTTTACTAGCATTTAACCAATCATAAAACCTGATTTAAACACTGAATTGAAAGAAGCAAATTAAAGGGAAAGTAACTATAATGTTATTAGATCTCAATAATAAAAAAATCACTACTATTGAAAGCAGAAAAAAAAGTGATTAAAGATAAACTTTAAAAAACAATTATAAGAATTTTTAAGTAGTCTTTAGATCAGTGCTTTTGGTAGAAATAAAAACCCTTTCACATTTGGTAGCAAAGTTCTTGGAATTATGTTTCCTTATAACATACTACAAGTTGGCATTTAGGATAACTCTTTATGTTTAAGAGTGTATCATGGCCTGGCCTGCATGGCTCAGTGGTTGAGTGTTGATCTATGAGCCAGGAGGTCACTGTTTGACTTCCGGTCAGAGCACATGCCTGGGTCGTGGGCTTGATTCCCCACGAGGGTTGTGCAGGAGGCAGCCAATCAATGATTTGCTCTTATCATTGACTAGAGGCCCGGTGCACAAAATTCACACAAGGTTTGACCAGCGATAAGGGCTGATCGGGGCCTTCCAGCTGCTGGCCAGTGCCCTCCTTCCGGCTGCCGGCTGGGGCCTTCTTCGTTCTGTGCCACCTCCTGGTGGTCAGTGCACATCATAGTGAGCATCGAGCTTCCGGTTGAACATACAATATATGTTACACAAAGGACAAACTGCCCAAGATTTTCTGTAAAGCTTGTGTAAACAAATGTTTATTGCATTACTCATAATAGCCAAAAAGTGGGAATAACCCAGATATCCATCAACTAATATATAAACAAAACATTGTATATCTATACAATGAAATATCCTATCTCAGTGCTTGGCAAACTCATTAGTCAACAGAGCGGCAAACCGTGGCTTGTGAGCCACATGTGGCTTGCGAGCCATGGTTTGCTGACCACTATCCTATCTAATAAAGAGGGAATATGCTAATTGACCATCACTCCATCACAAAGATGGGCGCACCCACAGCTGAGCCAAGTTCCCATAAGGAGCCTTAACAAGCAATCAGCAGGGACTTGAGGCTATGCCCTTCCCCGTTCCCATGGGGTTTGACAGGGGACCTCAGGCAGTGTCCCCCACCCAACAGGGTTGGACAGGAGACATCTGGCCTCGTCCCCCACCCAGGAGGGCATGACAGGGGACCTCAAGGTGTGCTTCCTGTCCTGGTGCTGGGCTAGGGGGACCTCAGGCTGCTCCTCTCCCCAGCATCAGGCTGAGGGACCACAGGCCACAGCCCCTACCCAGTGGGGCTTGACAGGGGATCTCAAGGTGCACCCCCGCCCAGTGGGGCTTGTGGGGGACCTGAGGCTGCACTTCCCCCCCTCCTGGTGCTGGGCTGGAGGACCTGAGGCAGACCTCCCTCCCCCGCACCTGGCAGGGCTTGATGGGGGACCTCAGGCCATGTCCCTAACCTGGTGGGGCTTGATGGAGCACCTCAAGGCATGTCCTCCGCCCCAGTCTAGGGGACCTCAGGCCACACCCCCTGTCCTGGCACCAGGCCAGGGGACCTGAGGCTATACCCCCAGCCCAGCAGGGCTTGACAAGGATGGGACTGGCTGGGTCTGGATTTAGCCCAATGGGGGGCAGGGGACAGGAGGCAGGCTGTGTCTGGGTCTCATGCGATTTTGAAGTGCATATGGGTGGGTGGGGACTTGACTCTGGGTCCCGTGGTGAGCCCAACTCTGACAGGAAGGTTTTCATATACATTTTACTAATTTTCTTTAATCCCTGACACTTCTATCATAGAGAAAGGGCAAACAGCAATATTAAATTATTTCCTCTAATTTATCTTTTAATGTGCACAAATTTCATGCACTGGGTGACTAGTTTGGCCATAAAAAGGAATGAGTAGCAGTACATGCTAAAACGTGAGTGAACCATAAAACATACTAACTGAAAGAAAACAGTTGCAAAAGATCACATATTGTATGATTCAATTTATCTGAAATGTCCAGGACAGGATCAAGCAATCAGATGTTATTAAATAAGATAAAAACTAATCCACTTGGAATGCAAGGGCAGATAGGAAAGAGCTGTAAAGAGGTTTTGTTTTTTTAAGATGCTTGAAAGCACAAACTATCGCTGAAACTGCCCATATACATTGGCCTATCCTGGTTCAAAATAATCAAGTGGGGAAAGCTTGCGAGAGAGAAACCGAGTAGACGGCTTTTGAGGGAAACCACCAAACTGTAGATTACCTTGTCTCTAATTTTGCTTAAAAGTAGAATACAATTTCCTCTACAGGATTTTAAAACTTAGTAACAAAGTGCTAAAACATTTTTGTGTGTGTGTGTTTTCTACTCCAGGTTTTTCATTGCTTACTGAACACAAACCTGTTCCTTTTCTAGATCTGCCCTTTGTCACTGTTGGCTTCTTCTTCACGGTTGGTGTCTGAAAAGTAGAATGTTCTCTCCACCTGCGAAGCTGAAAATTAATGAACTTCCACATCATGAATGCTTGGGTAATGCAAATCGATGCCAGAACAGCAATTCTGAGAATATGAAAAAATAAACAAAATATCAGAGTGCATCAAAACAATGCTACTTTAAAAAGTGGTCTATCTTGTTTTCAGAGTATTAATTTATTGCTGAATTCCCAAATAATTATTTCATTAATAATTCATCCCAGAAGTTAAATGAATGTTTTGGGATTTAAATTTAGACATATAAAACAGATATGAAATGAGTATTTTCCCTAACCTCCACATGTTTTAGGTATGTCATGGCATAAACTGATAATACATACTATACAGGTGTACAAAGTGAGAAAGATGTTAAGTTTTTGTTTTGTTTTGTTTTTTTTAAATATATATTTTATTGATTTTGTACAGAGAGGAAGGGAGAGAGATAGAGAGTTAGAAACATCGATGAGAGAGAGTCATCAATCAGCTGCCTCTTGCACACCCCCTACTGGGGATATGCCCGCAACCAAGGTACATGCCCTTGACCGGAATCGAACCCGGGACTCTTCAGTCCCTAAGCCGACGCTAGATCCATTGAGCCAAACTGGTCCCGGCCAAAGTGAGAAAGATGTTAAATGGACTGTACCTTACGCCCAACACATTGAAGTTTCCAGTACTGAAATCTAGCTTCTGGTTCTCTGCTCTTGCAAGGCCAAAGCCAACAGTTAGCACTGAAAGAATTAAAGTCAGAAGTCTTCCCAAAACAAACAGAACTGCCCACAGAGAAAAGCTGGAAGAAAAAGGTCACAAGTCAAATTCATAAAACTGCAGCAATAAGAAAATATTCTACTAGGAATCAGACTCTATTAAGTGCATATTAAAATATTTGTAATTTTCCTGCAAAAATAGTTCTGCAAGTAAAATGTCTGGAAGATGCTGCACTGTATCACACCCTCAGAGGTAACACATTAGCATATTTAAGGTTCTAGGAGGTCCAGTAAAGAAATGTTTTATTTTTTGTTTGGCTAATCCTCTTTTTACTCCATAGAATGACCTTCACAACTCCTGGTATATACAGAAATTTTGAAAACTGCTGGAGAAAACACAACAAAGGCTGTGCTGTAAGTAAGACCCCAATTCTCATTTAAGAGTCCTAGTTCTACTTTTCTTTAAAGACTTTACACTCTTTACAATACTGCTTCAATTCTGTTTTCAGTTCAATTCTCCCATCAAAATATTTTAATAGTTTTAAGGTTATATAATGTATATAATGTGTTATTTCATTTTCTTCTGAAAGTTCACTGTCCTATAATCCCTTGTCCAAAAGAAAAACATGCATTAAGCAAGATTGGAGAAGTTAGAAAAGTAAATTCAAAAAGCCTTCAGGATCACAAGTTCCCACATAATATCTCTATAGCTTAAAAAAAGACTCCATTTAGAGAAAACACCCACCCGAGTTGCTATTAGTTTCATTTTACTTAAAGCTGTTACTTACATATAAAGTAATATGACTGCCCACAGTGTGGGCCTTACCAACTGGCTTTAATTACAGCAGAAATAGAACAGCTGACCAACTTACCCTTTCTGATACTTTTCATCAGTGAAATAAAACAGGCGGGAGATGTGGAAAAGAAACTCAACAAAATAATGTGGCACCAAAAGAACAAGTCCTAGACGATTCAAGCTGTTAAAAGAACAAATTTGAAATGTAAAGGTTACTTATCAACTAAGACAGATTAGCATACTACCTGCACAGCCCATACACACCCCAAGAAAAATCCTAACTTACTTCAGAAGGTAAGCGCCGGCAATGTGAAAGAGGTAAAGACCTATGTAGACAAGCTGCCGAGGAATGTCCTCCTGTAAACAGAAAACTGCATTGTAGGTGAAACGTGCTGACACATTCCTGTTCCGCAGGAGCGCTGTGGCAGGGTGAACAACGTACAGAGGACCCGAGGGGTATTCTGCCACTGCCCCCGACCCCAACCGCTCACCCCCATCAGCTGCATGGCTTTAGCAAGTCATTGCATTTTGTCTGGCTTCTGCTACCTCATCTGCAATGTGTGACTAATACTTGGGTTTGCCTGAATCAGATGAACTCAAAACCCCTTGCATGCTAAGATCTATAGTTCTTTTGATTATAAACATTTATTGGATGACACACTATTGATACCCATGATAATGTCCTTCTAATATTAACATTGCTATGGTTAGAGGTGGAGAGGCTTTTGTTTTACCTAAAACAGTATTTACATTTTTTAAAAATATATATTTTATTGATTTTTTACAGACAGGAAGAGAGATGGGTAAGAGAGTTAGAAACATCGATGAGAGAGAAACATCGATCAGCTGCCTCCTGCACACCCCGCATTGGGGATGTGCCCACAACCACAGTACATGCCCTTGACCGGAATCGAACCCGGGACCCTACAGTCCGCAGGCCAACGCTCTATCCACTGAGCCAAACCGGTTTTGGCAGTATTTACATTTTTAAGACCATGTTTTTAATTCCTTCCACTATCAGGTATAGTCACTAAAACCAAAGGTTATAATTTTATCTTATCACTTATGATACCGTCTACTTTTTTATTCTTCCTTCTTAATAACCCTCTAAGCCATGTGTCCACATTTTAGTTCTGCTTCTTTTATTTTCCCATACACCCTAGAAGCCTAGTTATTTTAGAAAGTGTTTTTAAAAAATCTAAGTCTAGCTCTAGCAAGTCTGGCTCAGTGGATAGAGGACCAGCCTGCAGACTGAAGGGTCCCAGGTTCAATTCCAGTCAAGGACACATGCCCAGGTTGCATGCTCGGTTTGAGTGGGGGCATGCAGGAGGTAACTAATCAATGATTCTCTCATCATTGATGTTTCCATCTCTCTCTCCCTTTCCCTTCCTCTCTGAAATCAATAAAAATGTAAATAAATAAAAATGTAAGACATACTAGTAGATCATAAAATTAATTTAGGGAGTCACACTAATCTCTTTTAAAATATGAAATAGAGCCGTAGCTGGTTTGGCTCAGTGGATAGAACACCAGCCTGCGGACTGAAAGGTCCTGGGTTCGATCTGGTAAGAGCACATGCCCGGGTTGCAGGCTAGATCCCCAGAGGGGGATGTGCAGGAGGCAGCTGGTCAATGATTCTTTCTCATCATTGATGTTTCTCTCTCTCTCTCCTTCTCTGAAATCAATAAAAAATATTTAAAAAAGAACAGATTAAAAAAAAATACCTATAAGAATTAAAAAAATAGAATAGAAAATGCTAGAGCATAGAGTAAGCACACTGTATTGTTTTATGAAAAATTTATTCCAGATTGCACGCGCACGCGCGCGCACACACACACACACACACACATATACACACACAGAATCATGACATAAAATCTAGTTTTCATTTTGGGTTGCAGTAAGAAATGTTTGCAAAATACAGCAATGGGACCAATAAAAACTTAATTTATTAAATGCCTGTACCTTGCATTTCTACTCTCCTGATTTTGGCAGTTTTCCCTATACAGGTATCCCTCAACATTTCCAAAGCTTACTTACACCACTTCAAGTTTGTGGAAGCCCTACATTAGCACCTGCTTTTATAACTGAAAGAAATCCCAACAGGATGGTATAAAAAATGGCCACAAGAGAAGAGCATTGAGCATGTCTGGCAGTGAGCCTTAGAGAGACGTAGGTAACCCCCCAAGCTCCTTCCCCAGAACTACATGCAGCATCTCAGCACGGAGCCACCATGGCATTCAACTGTGTCTAAGAGCATCTGTACTTCATCGTGAGTTACTTTGTGCACCATTAGCAAGGTAATTGCTTCTTTGCTTTACTGCATTTCTTTTTATGAAAGAAATGGAGGACTCTATTTTTGAACAGCGGGGAAAACCTGTGTGTGTGTGTGTATGGCTATATTAGTCATTTCGTTAGAGTTACTTCATTGAGTCTTCTGAGAAAGAGTAGAGATTTTATAAGTGTAGTTTTGAACTTGAAAACTCTCTTCTAGTAAGAATGGTACAAAGATCAAGTGATAAAGGTGGAACATAAGACAGCCTAAAGGTGGAACATAAGACAGCCTATATAGACATAACTATGTTTGGGGACTTTCAGGGGAAATTCCCAGACACAATACCAGTTTACAGTGGTTTGTACAACTGGAGAGAGAAGTATCTTTAAGAATAAGCAGTCTTAAGGTCCTTTCCAAATAATTTTCAAACTTCTGATATTATTTCTCCTTACCAAAGGAGAGAGGAGAGCCTCTTTCTTCTGTCATAATCACTTCAGAACAGCTCAGTTATAGTGTTATAAATGTAATCTGATATGCTATATACGTGCTTGATACATGATAAGATTATATGATTTTGCTATGTAAATAAATTTTTCCTATCAGGAATTAGAAATGAGGTTTATGGGTTAGATCCCAGGTTGGGAAGAGTACAACAAAGTAACTAATTGATGTTCCTCTCTCTCTAAAATCAACAAACACATCCTTGGGTGAAGATAAAAAAAAAAAAAAAATTAAATTGTTTTATACTTGAATGGAAAAATATATAATGAAAATGAGTTAGAAAAGCTATGCGAATTGTTTATTCTTTTTTATTTTAAAGATATATTTTATTGATTTTTTTTTACAGAGAAGAAGAGAGAGAGATAAGAGTTAGAAACACCGATGAGAGAGAGACATCGACAGCTGCCTCTTGCACACCCTCTACTGGGGATGTGCCCGCAACCAAGGTACATGCCCTTGACCGGAATCGAACCCAGTACCTTTCAGTCCGCAGGCCGACGCTCTATCCACTGATCCAAACCGGTCTCGGAATTGTTTATATATTCTTAATGCTAATGGTCATGTAGTTTACATAAGAATGAATAATAAAATGATGACTTAAAATTCTGATTCTAAGTTTTCAAGGAAAATCTAATAAATACAGAACTTTAAGTCAAACCAAATTCTAAAATTATAAATAACTTCAAGTGACAATTTTTGTTTTTATTAAAAAGATCAGCCATATACTTTAGTGAATTTCTATTTTTCTTTTTTTTAAATAAATTTTTATTGTTCATATTATTACAAATGTTCCTCCCCCCCCTTCCAACCCCACCCTTTGCCCTTACCCCACCCCCCATTGTCCTCATCCATAGGTGCACAGTTTATGTTCAGTCTCTTCCCACATCCCCCTCTCCCCTTTTCCCCAAGAATCATCAGTTCACTCCTCTTCCATACCTCTGATTCTATTATATTAAACAGTTAATATTGCTCCTCAGATTTTTTTTTTAATTTCCTTGGTTTTTAGATTCACTTGTTGATAGTTACGTATTTGTTGTTCATAATTTTTATCTTTATTTACTTTCTCTTCTGAAAGAACCCCCTTCAGCAATTCATATAATTCTGGTTTGGTGGTGATGAACTCCTTTAGCTTTTTTTTTATTAGTGAAGCTCTCTATCTGACCTTCGATTCTAGTGATAGCTTTGCTAGATAGATAATCTTTGGCTGTAGGTTCTTACTATTCATCACCTTGAATATTTCTTGCCATTCCTGTCTGGCTTGCATGGTTTCTGTTGAGAAATCAGCTGACAATCGTATAGGTGCTCCTTTATAGGTGACTACCTGCTTAGCTCTTGCTGCTTTTAATATTCTCTCTTTGTCTTTTGCTCTATGATTTGTCTTGGTGTGGTCCTCTTTGGATTCCTTTTGTTTGGAGTTCTGTGTGCTTCCTGGACTTGTAAGTCCAATTCTTTCACCAGGTGGGGGAAGTTTTCTGTCACTATTTCTTTCAGTATGTTTTCGATATCTTGCTCTCTCTCAGCTTCTGGGACCCCCATAATTCTGACGTTGGATCGTTTGAAGTTGTCCCAGAGGTTTCTTACATTATCTTCAATTTTCTGGATCCTCTTGCCTTCTAGCTTCTGCAGAGGAGTGTCTTCTGGCTCTTTATGTTCCAACTCTTTGACTTGATTCTTGCGATCTTCTATTCTGTTTTTAGAACTCTGTATATTTTTTATTTCAGACAATGTATTCTTTATTTCTTGTTGATCCCTTTTCATATCCTCATAAGTCTCATTTATTTTATCGGCCTTTTCTAGGAAACTCTTGAAAAACCTTATAAGTGTGGTTTTGAACTCTATATCCAGTAGCTTTTTGTCCTCCATTTCTTTCATTTGTGATCTATTTGGTTTAGGCATTTTCGCAGGCAGCTTGCCTGATGGGGCAGGGTTTCAGGGTGGAGCCTACAGCTTTGGCTTTCGTCAGCCCCGCCCTATGTGACTCCTGAGACTCAGGGTCCTTCAGTACTCCTTGCAAGCGCCTCTGAGAGAAAGGCGCCCTTGATTTTCGCCTGCTGCCAAACAGTCTAGTCTCTCCCCCAATGGGCCCGAAACTGAGGTTCAGTTCAGTTGGAAGTGGAATTGGAGGTGGCGTTCAGAGCAGACTGGAGCCCCTGTCTCCTTCCCACCAGGGCAATTCCGCGGCACAGCCAACCGTCCCTTCTCTGCGCGGCGCCGCCGGGACCTCCTTTCGCCTCTTCCCAGGGGTTCTGCCTTTCAGCCCGGCTCCCTCTGTGTGAGCCTGGGTCCCCGGGGTTTGGCCTAGAACTGGGGTTCAGAGCAGTCAGAATGGGGCCCAGCACAGTCGGAGTTTTATCTCCTTCCCACTAGGGAATGTCAGCCAGGCATTCAGCCTCCCTCCTCTCCGGCTCCGTCCTCTCCGCGTGCCGCGTGTCTCCGTACCTCAGGCTTTTACAGCTCCTCCGTTCTTCCTTCTGGTTTCCTCCTTGCTTCTTGTTGTAGAATTTCCATTCAGTCGACTTTCCTGTAGTTCTGGGTAATGTTCATTTTATATTTTAGTTGTATTTTATTGAAATTGTTGCATGCGGCTGCGGCTAGGTGCCTACCCGAGCAGCCATCTTGGATTCTCTCGTGAATTTCTATTTTTCTAAAAAATTGTTTTTTTAACTATACCTTACTATAAAACAAACTTCACTTTAAACTGAGCATTACATATATGCCCAAATATAAGGCAAAGCTCTCTCCTTAAACCACAGATGGAGCCAATTCATATTTAAGTCTTTCCAAAGCTCTCACATATAGTAACATATACTGATAATAGCTTTAAAAATCTTAGTCAAGCCTTAGCCAGTTTGGCTCAGTGGACAGAATGTCGGCCTGCGGACTGAAGGGTGCCCAGGTTCAATTCCGGTCAAGGGCACATGCCTTGGTTGTGGGCTTGATCCCCAGTGTGGGGCATACAGGAGGTAGCCAATCAATGATTTTCTTTCATCATTGCTGTTTCTATCTCTCTCTTCCTCTTCCCTCCTCTCTGAAATCAATAGACATTTAAAAAAAACACACAAAACTTTAGTCAATATAATTTATAAATGTTTATAAATTATAATTTATAAACAGAGGTTGAATGGAAGAATCAGTAAGAATCAGTAAGACAATATAATTTATAAACAGAGGTTGAATGGAAGAATCACTAAGACAGAAATAAAGATAATATAGTTCGAAACACTGAACTAGATGATTCAAAAAGTGGCTCTAATGATGAATGACATATTAACAAGTTTGCATTTGAAAAGTGTGAATATAATTTTCATGAAGTAGGAATGGGGAAAAAAGAATTACTCTAATATAATATATTTTCTATTATACACAATTATATGTATGTATAATTAAATTAGATAAACTAAATCTTATAAATAAAACATTTGGTTATTTCAGCCACACTTCCCTGAAACTTCATATATTCAATTTAGCTAAGAAATTACATTTGGCCTGGCTGGTGTGGCTCAGTGTTTGAGCATCAACCTATGAAGCAGGAGGTCACAGTTGGATTCCTGGCCAGGGCACCTGTCCCAGGTTTCAGGCTCAATCTCCGGTACGGGGCGTGCAGGAAGCAGCCAATCAATGATTCTCTCTCACTGATGTTTCTATCTCCCTCTCCGTTCCTGTCTGAAATAAATAAAAATCTATTCTAAAAAAGGAAATTATATTTTGAATCTTCTCATAGGCAAAATGGAGGATTGTTGTTTATATTGAAGCACATATATTACATGTAATTAAAATATTCTCCTTAAGACAAACTGAGTTATTCATGACTAACACACCTCCGGAACTGTTACCAACAGCGTTCCGTTCTTTCTTGTTCTTTCTTCACTTCTCTGTAGGATCGTTCCAAAATTATCACTATGCTAGTTTCTTCCAGTAAAGATTTCTTCCAAAAATAATTTTGAGTAAATTTTAAGAAACTGTTTAACACATATACAGCTGTTACTTTCAAATTATGTTAATTACTTGAAACAGTTACTTTTGACTATAATATGTAGGTGTTAAAAATAGTTTTCTAAGTTATGCAAATTATTCCATAAAAATTAGATTGCATTTCTAGAAAAATGCCATCTGGCAGGAACTGATAAGAACTAAAATGAGCCGAAACCGGTTTGGCTCAGTGGTAGAGCGTCGGTCTGCGGACTGAAAGGTCCCAGATTCGATTCCGGTCAAGGGCATGTACATTGGTTGCGGGCACATCCCCAGTAGGGAGTGTGCAAGAGGCAGCTGGTCAATGTTTCTCTCTCATCGACGTTTCTAGCTCTCTAACCTTCTCTCCTCCTCTCTGTAAAAAATCAATAAAATAAAAGAAAAGAACTAAAATGAAACAATTACCGTACTTTGAAAGATGCCTCTTTACTTACAGGATCAATGAACAAACTATAAAATATGGGTTAATAGTAAAAACCAGAGGTATTATGTCTGTATTTTATGTCCATGGGAATAAAAGTATATGAAGAAAGCCTTCAATATTTGAGCCCTGGTACTAAGACCTCAAACTATGCTATTTCCGGCAGCGCTGTCGTAAAGCACTTTCTGTAAGGATGGAAATGCTCTCCATCTCTGCTATCCAAAGTGGCAGTGTGGCCACATGCAGCTAAGAACCTGAGATAGGCCTCCTGTGACCAAGAGAGTGAAGTCTGTTTTATTACACTGTATTTAATTTAAATGGGACCAGTAGCTACTGTTTGGACAGTGTGGCTATAGGACATCCATGGCTCACATTGAGAGCTTACTGAATATGGAAGGGCTGCTGGAAACTGGGAGTCTACAAATTTTATCTTCAGACAATTTGAGATCAAAGGTTTTATGGATCATCATCTTAATCCTTGCAATCAACTTAACTAGAGAACATTCTACTTTACAAGTCAACGTAAAACTCTAATGTGGTGCTGTTTTTTCATCATAGCAGACACATCAATATGACGAACACATAGAACACACACACAAAAAAAACCCCACAAACACAAAACAGTAGTAAATCAAGCCACTATACTCAAGAACTATTTGAAGCACATATAGAAAGAAGTGACTGTGGTGATTGAGAAGGCAGAGATAAACTGGTCATTGGAAGGGTTGTTACATTTCTATTTGGGAAAACTTCTTAAAGACAATTAAATGTTTTAAATGTGGAAAGCATATGTATATGTACATATAAAACAAATAGGGGGTGAAATGAATCCCCACTTAACCATAGCCCAGCTTCAATAGTTAACTCATGAGCAAAATTGCTTCATCCTTATCTTCATCCATGTTCAATTTCATATATGGGAATTTTAAAATAATCTCTCCCCCAAAGGGTAAAAAGTGCTTCGTTAATTTATCATAGGGAAAGGGTATTCCAGGAAAAATAACTGATGTGCTGGGGTTATAAAACAGAGGTCAATGGGAATGAAGCCCAGGAGAGAGCAGGAGAAAAGGTGACCAGTGAGGGGAGTCCAGAGAAGGGGCCCTTAGAGCACAGGTCAGTGGCTCTATTTTAATTTTAAGTAACAGGAAGCTAGCATGGATTTTAGAGGAGAAAGCATTCAATAAAGGAAATCAAGTTGCTTTGTAAGATCACAAAGTCTGACTTCAGAAGTACTGAGGGTAAAGCTAGAAAAAAGAAAACCGCAGTGCCCAGGAGCTGTTTGTCCAGATAAAACAAACACCTCTCCCACATGCTAAAACGGGAATGCTCCACCCAGGTCGGGAAAAGCCTCGCTGGTGAATAGTTAACTGTGGTTTACTTGTTTCAATCCTGAACTTTCCTCTGGGAATTACACACAGAACCGTTAGTTGTGGTAAATCTGATTAGTCCTTGTATCAATAATATGAAATTAATATTACATTTCAAAATTTAATTTATTTTACATTACTAATAATAATTTTAAAACTAGCAATTAGCATGTCTAATGCAAAAGATCCCCCTCTAAATTAAAACTAACACCCTCCACCCAGCCCAGGATACCTACTCTTTGTGGAAAGACTGGAGCTGGGAGAATGGGGGAAGACTTGAGGTAAGAGGGAGGTTAAAGACACGAAAGGAAAAGAAATGACAGATAATTTTAAAAACACAAAATCCCAGCTTACTTTTTTGGTTTTCTGGAAGTAGAGCTCAGGAAAAGTATGAAACCAGTAAGCCAACTGTGATATGTAGAAAAACTTCACCTGAAATCTGTGTAACACAAGGAAGTAAAAAATACATTTTAAAGCCTGGTATTTTTAAAGAGTAAAGTTAAAAATGAACACTGGAACTGAGGATATACTAAGTAGTTATGTTTTCACTATCACTTCAGGTGCCCTTACAATTAATACTCCGTGCACCTTTCAACAACTCTCCCTCAGCCACTTCCCCCGTCTCCCTGGGATATTCCCACCACCAGTCAATTCCTCTGGATTAAGCAGCAGAAGCAAACACATCAGCTGAAGAACCCTGTAAACATGCAAGCTAGCTGGAAGGAACCAGAGCTCTGAGTCTATTCGATAATTAATACTGATTTGTGTGTCATGTTAGTTACTGAACACATACGGATCATGATTGAGGGACTCAAACCACAGATCTAGAAAGTTTCATCAAAAGGGAAGCGGGAGCCGGGCCAGCATGGCTCAGTGGTTGAGCGGCGACCTATGAACCAGGAGGTCATGGCTCAGATTCCTAGCTAGGACATGCTTGCCTGAGTTGTGGGCTCGAACCCCAGTAAGAGGCATGCAGGAGGCAGCCAATCAATGGTTCTCTCTTATCATTGATGTTTCTGTTTCTCCCTCCCTCTTCCTTCCTCACTGAAATGAATAAAATTAAAAGGGAAGCGGGATGGGTACAAGACTGACATAAAAGCAAAGGAAAGAGATTAAAAGTTACCTGAAACTGGAATAATCCCAATTTTAAATATCCCCTGGCTTTTTTCTTAGTGAGATACGGTAACTCTATCTGGATGGAACATTGAGAGCCCCAAATAAATGGAGGCCAAGCAGGGTTAAAGAGAGTAAAAAGGCAAAAAGGTTTCCCAAGAGATATATCCTAATCAGTCTGGAATCATTGGTCTCTTTACACGGTATCCTCCAGTCCTTCTGCTCTCTCTTTGTTCTCCCTTCTCCTCCTCCTCCAGAGTCTAAAATAGAAACCTCAAAGCCAATGTGAAATAATTTCCAGGGAGGAGGAAGGGAAGAAATACAGTACCACATAAATATGATGTTTATAACCCATTCTATAAAAGTTCACTGAATTGATATAACTTTAAAAAGTTACAATGGTTCGGCAGAGTGGACATTACTACTGGCCTTCAAAATATTAAGACATGCATGGCCACAGTACTCCCTTCATATCTTTTCTCCAATGTCTACGTCAGTGGTCGGCAAGTTCATTAGTCAACAGAGTGTCAAACCTCAGCTCTGGAGCCGCATTTGGTTGGCCTGCAAACTGCGGCTCTTGAGCCTTGGTCTAAGTGGTAAGCACCTACAGCCCGGCAGGACAGAGGATACAGAATAAACAGAGAGTTTCTACTGCTCTCAAGGCACATAGTCTTGGTGGGCATGGGCACAATATAAGACTTAAATAAATGACACAACAATATATGGATACTACATAAAATTTTATACATCACATGATAAATTCAGAAAAGCAAAAAATATTACAGGCTAAGTACGAGAAAAATCTGGAATAGCTGTACTAGAGCTCAGCTTGAAGAAGAATATAGTTGAATGCTTTTGTAGCCAATAAGCTTCTTACAACAGCGTATGGAAACCTTGGGGGCTAGAAAGAAACAATTCCCACCCGCAAGCTTATAGTATAAAAGAATAAAAGAGTGAAAGAGTGAAGAGTCTGAGGCAAAGAAAAAGAGCAAACCTAAGGAGAAGGAGGAGAAGGAAAGAGGAGAAAGGATGGGGGAGAAGAAAGGGACAAGACTAATAAATTAGATTGTTATAATCAGAATTCTCAAGCTAACAAACATACTGAAAGATTACATTCATGAAAAAAGCACACAGGAATTTTTTTCCTATGGCAGCAGGCCTGCCAAAGATATACTTTTGTATGCATCTGCCTAAAATTTTAAGGAGATTAAGAATGAATTCTGCTTAAAAGTGACATGACCATGGTCCTTAACTATGAAAAGCCTGCCAGAAATAACTTACGTCATCAGGTTAGGGGGATAAGACCTCCATAAGATAGTCGGGTCTGAGATGTAGTTTTCCTAAGAAAGAAGATATAAAAATTAGTCTATTAGTACAATGCAAACTTCTTGGAAAATCACACAGTATTTTCATTTCTTGCACATTTACAACTCCCTAAGTCAAGTTCCAGAGAGCCCCCAAGGTCGAACTCTTCTGTTGTTTTAGTTATTGTCAACTCAGCTGAATTGCTTACTTAGGGAAGTGAAAATCAATGGATGTTCGAAGTCAAATAAGACATAATTCCTGTCCTTCTGAATTCTTTCAGTTCAGTAGAGTAAAAAATACAAGTATGCAAACAAAATCAACAAAGCAAAAAGTACTAGAAGTGCTCCATTAACAGAGGTACAATAGCTGCAGGAGAGATGGATTATATCTTGGGTAATCAGAGGTAGCCAGGAGATGGAAGATCAAGGTGCTGCCAAATTTTACAGATTATGCCCAGATAGCCACCAAATCTTTTTCTTAGATAACCATATCTACTCAGTGAAAGTTCTTACATAAGGAAAAAAAAAAGCCTAAAGTGACCCATCTTTAATAAGAATATTTTCCCAATGAAATATAACAGTTTAGTTTTTAAAACAAATATTTAAGATAAAATTCATATAGCCTATTTATTCACCCTAACATGGTAGTTTAAAAAATTATGTGTCCTGACAAAGTAAAAAATATGTTAACTCTGGAGTACTAATACTAAGGTTGATACTACCTTCCCCCTCATTAGTTAGAATGACACATTTAAAGGTTTATATTGCCTTAACTGCAAAGTTAATCAACATTTTAAGTTGCTTGGGAAATGTCTGAACTGTTTTTAAAGGGGGAAATGGCTAGAAACATTACAACTCATGTAACTTAGCATAGGTATCACTGACATATTACCCTTTGTGCTAATACAGAGATGCCTGAAAATGACTGCAAGATATAAAATAGCATTCAACTGACTACAAATAAGGTTTTCTCAAGCATTAAATATAGTTTAGAATTTTTACTGTATAAAAACTAAGGGAGACTTATCCATGAAACTTGCTTTATATTAGTTCACTAGTAGAATACCTAATCTTATACAGCAGCAGAAGAGGGATTTTTCTAAGGTTCAGGGTTTGCTTACATTAAAAAATAGAATAGGATTTCACTTTCTGTTCTAGGTATATAATGTAAATATTTTAAGAAAGGAAAATTTAAGCATAGTATATACTTACAGAAACTAGAATGAATGTGCCCCAAATACAAGAAAATAGGTAGAATGCACTAAGCTGACCAGATTCATTAAACTTGCTGTGTTTCGTTTTGGAGAAGTGCATACGCCTGTTTATTTTCTAAAAATAAAAACAATCAATAATTAAAATTATAAAATATATTTAATATGACAATCATAGTATGGAGAGCTAGTATTTTACAAAGTATAGATTTCTAAGATTGTATACTTACATCCAACACATACTCTTGAATTATGGCATGAACAATTATCGCCACTAGCATGTAGAAGAAAATTGTAGCCAAATCTTTGATACCATAGTAATAGAAAGATGCTGTTTCAGCAGCTTGTTCTTCTGAAGGCCAAAAAGGACAGGACACACATACACAAAAATATACATGAGATTATAAAAACAGCACTAAGTACAACATAGTTATGGAAACAAACAAAGATGACTAACCTAATAGCTAAGTATTACAGAAACATCATGGTAATTTGCTTTTGGACATCTTGAGTCATGGCAACAATGAAAACTGAGGAGACTATCTAGGAATTGAAAACTCCAGAAATTACTTAACAAAGACTTGACACATGTTATGTTAGTCACAGCCATCAAAAACCAAAAAACAGGAGGGGGTGGCCACAATTTAATGTAATTGTAAAATTGACATTATCCCAGGCGTTACATTTAGCCCACTTGCCTGTAATTTTAAAGAACTTTAGATATTTTCTACTTTCTACCTCTACTTTCCAACGAGACACCTCAATATGATTCTGAAGGAAAGAGATTTTATCTGTATCTGATTTAGTTTTGATTACTGTAGAGATAAAGGCAACTGCTTCTTAAAATTATTTTTATTCCTTGAAATTGCTGTAATTGTTTAGAACAAAGCTTAATCAAATACTTAGGAGTTGGTTAAGTGCTTCATTTTTCTCTGGCATATTCAAATTTCAAAACAACTTTATGGTTCTCAGTTATCTGAAATCTGAATCACTAAATCAAATATTTACAAAACTATATATATAATGGAGAAAATCCAACTCAGTGTTACATAATTCATCTTTTTTTTTTTAAATAGAAATCCAGGGCAAGTTTACTACCTGAATATGTTAACATTTTATGAACTGTATGCCCCATTCCTCCCCTGTGCTAGTTAATTATATTACTGTATTCAACTACAATCAACTTCCTGTAACAACTTGATTTTCACAAAGCATAATTTAGAAAGCCTTTTTGAAATGAAACCTAAAAGTATAATTTGGGTGCTATTACCAAATTACCCCTAGCGTTTACTGACATCTTAATTGAAATAATGTCACAGGTAAAGCAAGACAAAGAAACTGAAAATAAAATAGGCTTAAAAGGATTGTTATTATAGGTCTAAATCATAACTCACTGGTTGGAAAAACCGAACCTAAACACTGAGCCTTCAGAAACCTTGGTTAACCAATGATACTTTCAACAAATATCTATGTTGAAGGAAAGAGAAGGCAAAAAAAAAAAAAAAAAAAAAAGTTCTTGGACAGAATTTCGAGCTCATTACAAAAATGTACAACAAACACTAAACACATAAAAACTGATTTCCATAGGGTGAAGTCAACCAAAAACATCAGATCTTACATTACAAAAATATCAAAATATTCAGTCTAATCGTGAATGAGATTTGTGAAAAATTAATGAAGAACCTAGTGTTAGTGGAAATTTCACAGTTTATCTAAGTGAACCTTTCCACCTAAGTAGACAATTCTAAAAGAAAACTACTTACCTGTTGCAGGGAGGGTAACATTATACTGAAGAGTAACAAAAATGATAGAAGCTTTTGCTGATATCTAGAAATGAAAAAAAAAAAAGATCAAGTTAATTTGTGACTTACTAATAGTTGATCAGAGGGAAAATATTACAGCTTCTGTCCCCAGGTCTAAGAACCAAGGGCACCTAGATCCTGCAGCATCCTGACAGGCAAAAATGAAATTCCTGATCACCAAGGATCGGAGGATGGGGGTTCACATAAGAGCATTCTGCAGTTCACATGAGATTGTATAATTCACTCCTACCTTAAAGATTTCAAAAGAAATACTCTCTGCAGTTCTACTAAATGGTGATTTGAAAGTTAGTTTCTCTACTCTAGACTAATGAACACACAGGTCTCAGTGAGAAAAAAAAAAGTTAATGTAAATTAAAAGAAATGGGAACACAGTAGCCACGACAAAAAAAAACGGATCAAAGGGTCTGTAATTTATGTGTGTTCATTTCCCACACACCCCGCATAGCTAAGTGGTCAATAAACATTTAACTGACCCCACTACTGGTAAAAGTAAAGTGGGCAGAAGAGAAATATTGAATGTTTCCTGAATATTTATAGGTACCAAACAAGAAAACAGAACAAAGGTAAATGAATGATACAATTCTTGATGATTACGAGTTTAGTTGGGCCAGGAAGACAAAATTATTATACTACTACTAGAGGCCTGTTGCACAGAGATTCATGCAATAGGCCTTCCTTCCCCTGGCTTCCATCACTGGTTTTCCTCTGGCACCCTGGACCCAGGTCTTCGCTCTGGCCACTGCCTTCCATCTTCGCTCCGGCCAGAGTCTTCCGTCTTTGTCTTCACTGAGGCCAGAGTGCCACTCCTGTAGATTCCTTCGCCACCCCCCATTCTCCCTCTCATAGCAGGCATCCTGCCCTGCTAAGCTGCTCCGCACCTGGAGTGGCTAGGAGGCGGGGCCACCTCCATATTTGTCCTTCTAATTTGCATATCCCTTCCTGATTGGCTAGTGGGCATCACAGAGGTACGGTCAGTTTGCATCTTTCTCTTTTATCAGTGCCAATGGGTATTCAGGATAAACAAACTGTTTTTGTTTTTTTTCTTGGGTAGGGAATGAGGCATGTTCAGGAAAGACTTCTGAGAGGATGTGGTGAGAGAGTTGTCTCATTGAAAAATAAGTTGACGAGGGGGGTGAAGAGGGCAGTGTAGGCAGCAGAAACAAAGGGCAAAAGTCAAATAGCAATCAACACAGGCCTGGCATGGGCACACATCAGAAGTGGCAGAAAAACCTAGACAAACTGTCAGTGCTAGAAAGGACTTTGTTTCATTCTTTAAAAAAAAAAAAAAAATTAATAAATCTGAATTGTTCAGATTATTACAATTGTTCCTCTTTTTACCCCATAGCTCCCTCCAGCAGGTTCCCATCCCACCTTCTGATTCATAGGTATACAATTAGGACTTGTTTCTTGATCTAAGTAAGTTTAGATTTTATTTTACACTGGAGAATTTTGAGAAGAGGGAAGTTCATACGTGCTTTTTAGTAGCTGGCTGTGGCTTACTAAGTTTCCTCAGACCCAAGTTCACACTACAGCCAGAATCATCTTCTGATCACGTTAACACATCTCTCCAGGTGCATCCTCCACCCAAAAATCCTTTGCTAGATTCCTGTTCTTTCTCAGATGAAGAACAAAATCTCCAATATGCCCCAAACAACAATCCATAGTCTGACCCCTCCCCTCAGCTCCATCCAGACTCATCTCTGACCATTTCCTCCTGTTCTCTCACCTGTGGCATTCCTCTATCCCAGGGTCTGTGCAGTTCCACCTAAAACTGCTAGGTAACCTTCAGCCTTCAGCCTTCACACCTTTTCAAGTAAGCCTGTCCGGTCCCTTAGAGCAGATCATTTCCTTTGTTAGATTATCTCAGAGAACTGCCTTCCTTTCAAAACACATACTCTTGGTGTGATTACGTTGACAGTTTCTGTCTCACTCATTAGAAAGTAAGCCCTGTAAGAGCTGGGACCATGCCTGTTTCTGCTCATCACCATATGCTAGAGACTAGCAGGAGGCCTGGCACATATTAGGTGATGAACTAAGGCCCAGTGCATCGTGCACTGATGGGGTCCCTCAGCCTGGCCTGCAGGGATCAGGCCGAAACTAGCTCTCCGACACGCTCCTTCCCCCTCCAAGGGGTCTTGGATTGTGAGAGGGCAGTTCTTGGGTGACACACCCCAGAATCGAGCTCCCTCCTCTCTGGTTCTGGGTGCATCACCTGAGAACCGCAGCTGCCAAGTCACTGCAGCTCAGTAGCTCCTGCATTGAGCGTCTGCTCCCTGGTGGTCAGTGCGCATCATAGCTACTGGTCAGAGCATCTGCCTCCTGGTGGTTGGTGCATCTCATAGCTATCGGTCGGATGGTTGGACACTTAGGCTTTTATATATATATATATGTGTGTGTGTGTGTGTGTATATAATTACTAGATAAAATATAATCTTAAGTGTGGAAGTCAAGTATAAAACTTCTGCAAGAGATCACATGAAAGATAATAAGGCCCGAACTAAGGCAGTGGTAGTGGGATAGAAGTGGGACTTTCGAGGCAGAATAAGGCTTGGTAAGCAAGAGTCAATGACTATGTTTTGGTGCTTATAGCCTAAGTGAAAAGTAATGTTATTAATAAAAATGTGGAATACAGGAGGAACAGCAGGTTTGAGGAAAAAAGAAGAAACTGAGTCCTAGATACACTTAGATTTCTGTAGGTAGTTAAGCCTAAGCCTGGGAGACTCTAGCTTAGCGACTTGGGCATCTCCATTTACAGGTAGTAACTGAAGTTGTTGAAAGCACAGAAATCATCTATGGACAGGTTACAGAATTCGTAGACAAATAAGACATCAGACTGTGGCGTGGGCACAGAAAAAGCTGATGGCAAAATAAGAAATGATCAGAGATGCAGAAAGAGAATGAAGAGAGCTTGATGCCCCAAATGCCAAGGGGGGAAACATTTCAAAAAGGCGTGGTTAATAAAGTCAACGTTTCAAAGAACACGTGGCGGGGAAAGAGTGCAATGGAACGGACAATCTGAGAAGTCGTGGTCACGGCTTGAATTGTTTCAACAAAGTAATGAGAGCGAAAGCCAATGGCAACAGTCTGAGGAACAGAAGAGGAACAAAGTGGTACCTAGTGACAGATGCCAGGTCAGGATTTATGTTGTTTTTCTGAGGGGAGAGACTGAGCTTGTGTGGGGGCAACCCTGAGTGTATGCCTTCCTCTGGCAATTTTTAGCAACCCACAAATGGGGAGGCACAGGAAAGGCAGATGGCAGGCCGGGATGAATGGGGAGAAAGACCAAGAGGGAAACAAAGCTGAGGGAGACTGTGGATAAGTAGTTCAAGTCTGCAGAGAGAGCACAGCAATGAGGGGGCTAACATTCTGGAGAGAGGGAAAGGGGGCCAAGGAACCACGAAAGCTTGGACTGACTGGGGAGCAGGCAAATAAATGAGAAGGAGGATGAAGGAGGGGAACAGGTAAGTTATGGCTGAGCCTCTGCTACCCCAGAATTCAGGATCTGGAAATAAGCAGGTCTGTGTGATAAAGCCCAGGATATGACACGAAAGTGAGTCACTGAACTCCGGTAGAGATAGAAAGGTCACTTGAATAAAAAAAGCCAGTAAGGCTTGTTATAATTTGAATCATTCACATGGATGCATTAGAGCAGAATGATGGTATGAATTTCCTGGGTAACACGGCTTTCATGTAATTCTTTTTAACAAAGTTAATTGATTACTAAACTTCATTTTTAATATCTTTGTTTAGATTTCATATATATAAACATAAACACACATAACACACACTCACACCCCCGTTTCTAGTTTAGCATATGAGGTCACGATTACATAGACAAGAAAACTTTTTTATTTAAATTGATTTTTTATAGAGAGGAAGGGAGAGGAGATAGAAACATCGATGAGATAGAAACATCAATCAACTGCTTCCTGCACACTCCCCACTGGAGATGTGCCCCCAACGAAGGTATATGCTCTTGACCAGAATCAAACCTGGGACCCTTGAGTCTGCAAGCCCACGCCCTATCCACTGAGCCAAGACCAACTAGGGCAACAAGACAACTTTTTAAGAGCCCCATACAAATGACAAGTGAACTTCTTCAAAGATTAATTGAATATTAAATACCAAAAGCAAAAACAAATTAGATTATACTTTTATGCTAGGCTTCCAAATAAAATTAAAGTCTGGCCTTCAGCTAGTTTATCATGTGACATTGAGCAGTAGAAGAAGAAGCCTGGCCAGTGTGGCTCAATGGTTGAGTGTCAACCTATGAACTAGAAGGTTACGGTTTACTCCTGGTCAGGGCACATGCCTGGGTTGAGGGCTTGATCCCTAGTGGGAGCCAATCAATAATTCTCATCATTGATGTTTCTCTCTCTCTCCCTCTCCCTTCCTCTCATATATACATTTAAAGTAGAGTAAAATATATATATATAAAAAAAGATATTTTTTTACTCTACTTTAAATATACATTTAAAAAAAAGTAGAGTAAGAGAAAAAATACAAACTACATTCCCCCAAAAAGTTTCTAGAAAATTACTGTCATCACATTCTGAACCATTTCTAAGCCCCCTTAGCCACACACTACAGCCAGCAATTCTTTAAACTAATTTTACAATTAATTAATAGTAAGACAAATTAGCCTGGAATAAAACATACTACAGAAATATATAATGCATTGAAAAGTAAAATTACTGCATTTATGGCAGTTCTGGACATTTACAGCACCGTTCTCCATTTATAAGGGAAAAAATGACTTATTCAGATACATCTTAAATAGGTTACCACAAACTCTAATGAATTGTTTAATTCCATGTTGGATGCAATATCAAGACTGCCAATGGAGCTTAGTATTTTTTTTTCTTTTTGTTATACACAGGGGTTAGTATTTTGTACTTGTTAGAGGTTGGTGTGACTATTACATTGACCAGGTGCCTGAAAGATAAAAGGACAATTTCTGAATACCAAATTCCACTTTCCCACGTGTATATAAAATTTGGTTAAAAAAAGAAAAAAAGAAAAAGGGAAGAAAGTGTTGGTATTAAGACAAGTCATGCTTAAGAACAAACCTCCAAAAACTATTCCAAGGTGGGTGTAATTGTAAATGTCTCCCAAACCTGCACAGCCCACACAACATAGACTCCTGAATACCTGGGAAGTAACTCCCTTCCAGAAGCAAATATTCCTCTTGGAAACGCACAACTCCTCTCTAGCTTCACTTTCAGAAAGCTTCCCAAGTATCCTTACATTTTTCGACTGTTCAAACTTTCCTAACTCAAACTTGAAGCCACTAATTATAGACCATATTTGCATTATGTGAACAGATGCTGACTATACTAAAAACATGATTTGAAATTTCATAAGCAATTTTTGATATCGCCAAGTTTCCTGGAAATTAAAGTCCTACATTTCCCCCAACATACTACTTCATCAATCTTTTCAGTTTACACAGGGTGGGGCAAAAGTTGGTTTGCAGTTGTAAGACATAAAACACAGTTTATTCTTGTGTTATTTTTCCATATGAACAACTGTAAACCTACTTTTGCCCCACCTTGTATAATCTCTTTACATATTAATGGTTGGACCCTTCTCTCACATAAAAATGTTGTCTTGTATTTTCCCACTTTGAAAAATATCTAAGGAATAATAACAGCACCACTATGGCATATCTCTTATATGCCACTGAAGTAGAGAGGCATTATATATAGTAATGTTATTCTCTGAGTTTGTCAATGAGCCCCATTTTACAGAGAAGGAAATAATTGAGAAGTTAAATGACATAGGTCATCCAGTTTGCAAGCTGTAAAGCTCTAACTTGAACATGGAACCCTTAAGCTCTAGCATCTATGCTTCATGATATTTCTACATCGATTCTTCATTTTGGCTAGTAATATAGCATCTATTATTGCTTTGTCAACTTCACCATAAATCTTGACATGTCCTCAATATAGTCACACAAAAGGCTTAGCTTTACTGCAAAAACATTGACTTTTCTATTATTCTAGCACAATTATTGTCATTCTATAATTATGTTAACTTTGAGATTTATCTGCAGTTACTTTATTTACGTATTCATTGGTTTCTCCTTGAATGTATGTATGTACCCTATTTAGGGATGGATCCTAAAACCTTGATGGATGATGGGACAATGCCCACTGAGCTACCTGGCCAGGGCTATAAGCAATTATTTTAAAATAGCAAAACTCACCTGGCCAATTTTCCCCCGTATGTAGATAACATGCTTTCAAATCCTAAAACTTTAACATATGGTAAGAAAAATGTACAACTTGCAAACTTCCCTTTCCTGTATACTACTTCAATGTTCTCTTGAACTAACTCTAAAAACTTATTAGATCATTGTTATATCTATTTAGCTTTTCAAATTTTACATATTTACATAAAGGCAAAAATCCACTCTGTTAAAAAAAAAAATCATTAACACATGAGACAAGGTACAGATGGTGAATTTCCCTAGAATGGTGATAAGACAATGTGAAATATATCTTACATAAAAGCAAAGTTAGCCTTGTCTAAGGGTCAGTATTCCTGATTTATATTCCTTTTAATTCAAAGCATTGAAACACTACTCCCAAATTCTATCTTTAAAGTCAGGAATTCTTACCATATGGAGATAGATTATGACAAACTTATACAAACTATTATTTCTTTTTTTGAAAAATATTTCTATTTACTGATTTTAGAAGAGAGTGGGAGAGAGAGAGAGAAAAAGAGAGAGAGAGAGGGAAATGGATTTTTTTTGGTCTCATTTATTTATATATTCCTTAGTTGATTCTTGTATGTGCCCTGCCCGGGTCGTATTGGCTACCTTGGCGTTTGGGAACAAAGCTCTAACCCACTGAGCTAATCTTGGTTAGCTCAGTGGGTTAGAGCTTTAATAACACAAGTTATTACTTCTAATAACAAAGCACAAAGTACAAACAGAAAGGGAGTACAAATGTTTAGCACTGCCCTTTTATTTATTTATTTAAAAAATATATTTTATTGATTTTTTTACAGAGAGGAAGAGAGAAGGACAGAGAGTCAGAAACATCGATGAGAGAGAATCATCGATCAGCTGCCTCTTGCACACCCCCCACCGGGGATGTGCCCGCAACCAAGGCACATGCCCTTGACCGGAATCGAACCCGGGACCCTTCAGTCCGCAGGCTGACGCTCTATCCACTGAGCCAAACCGGCTTCAGCTAGCACTGCCCTTTTAGTAATATCACACATTCACACAGCTCTCACATGGTGCCTTCCTAGCATCAGCGGTGAGAACGGCACAGGTGGCTCCCTTTACCTCCTTCCTCGCCCGGAGGCTGAGCCTCAGGCAGGAGGAGGTGAGCAGCACAGGCCCAGCCTCCAGTGAAGTGAGTTCCCGCGTGTTAGTTCCCTTCTACCTCTCCTTCCTCCACACCTACCCCCTCCTTCACCACAGACCACGTGGAAATAATGGACATTACCAGGAATTTAAAAAAAAAAAAAAAGCCCTACGTGTAGACTTAGAAGAGCCCATTTGAAGAAAAGCAAAAATACATTAAAATACGTATGAAGCTCTCTGATAGCAACCTTCAAAAGCCTGCAGGGGCTCCATTTAAAATATTTACTCATCCTGTGGTCATGGCAGTCTCATTCCGCTAGTTTTTTTTTTTTTTTTTTTTTTTTTTTCCTCCCAAGAATTCAAACGTCCCTCATTCACCACCAACCAGGGAAGCAGTCCTACCCCCAGGCACGGATCTGGGCGCTGGAAACCCTACAGTCACAGGCAGGTGTGCCCTGACCTCCCGGGAGGGGGAAAGGCGGCAAATACGCACACGGAGTACATCGGACAGGGCGCAGCGGCTCTCGAGCAAAAATGGGGGAAAAAAGGGAAAGGTGTAAGGGCTGGGCACGCACACCGGGGAGCGAGGGCACCAACGCCGGAGGAGGAGGCCTCCTCGCCCAGAGCACCACCCGCGTTCAACAGCCGCGAAGCAGCCGCCCGATCCCGGCAGCGCGGGCGGGAGCGCACCGGCTCCCGCAGGCCCGGCCGCTCCCGCTCCCAGGAACAATGCCGGGGCCATCGCCGGCCCCCGGGCACCGCTGCCCGGCGCCTCGCGCTCGGGCTTCCTGACGGGAAAGGCAGCAGTTGGAGGGACCGGTGGGCACACCTCCAGCCGCGGAGCGGAGGGCGGAAACCAGCGGGGCGCCCAGCCCGCGCGCCCCTCGCCGCCCCGCGCCGCCGGCTCCGTCTGTTCTCACTCACCCCCCACACTCGGGGCTGCGGGGACCCCCCCCCCACCCCGCACCCGAGGTCCTCGGCCGCCCCCCGACCCCGGCCAGGCCTCCACGTCACCCCAGCGCTCGCCCGGGACGCGCCCGCCGCCAGGCCGGCCATCCCCGCCCCCGCCCCCGCCCCGCCCCCGCCCCCGCCCCCGCGGCCATCCCGGCAGCCAGGCTCCGTCTGTTCCCATTCACCCCCACACTCGGGGCTGCGGGGACCCCCCCCACACCCCCCCGACCCAGGCCAGGCCTCCACGTCACCCCCGCCCCCGCCCGGGACGCGCCCGCCGCCCGGCCGGCCATGCCCGCCCCCGCCCCGCCCCCGCGGCCAGCCCGGCAGCCAGGCCGCCCCCGCCGCCGCGGCCCCTCGCCGGCTGCCACGTAACCCTCCGCGGGAACCAGGAACTGCGCGGCGGCGGAGGGGGCGGCGGCCGGAGGGGAGGAGGGAGGAGGGAGGAAGGGCAGCGCGTCCGCGGCGGGGGCGAGCGGCGGCCCCCGGCCAGGCCCCGCGGCCCCCGGCCCGCACCTCGGGGGTCCGGCGCCTCCTCCACCCCCCACCCCACACCCCGACCCCAGGCGCCCGGGGCGCGGGGCGGGCTCACCTCGAACATGAGCCCCAGCAGGAAGACCATCGCCACACAGGAGACGATGTCCGCGTGATTCTGCAGCACGAATTCGTGGCTCAGGATCGGGGGGCTCTTGGTGCTCTTCCTGCGAATCGCCATGGTGAGGCCGCCGCCGCCGCCGCCGCCCGCGCTGCAGGTGCTCCGCCGGCTCCGGTCCGCCCGCTGCTCACCAGCCCGCCGCCGCCGCCGCCTCCCCCTGGCTGCGCCTCACAGCCCCGCCGCCGCCGCTCGCTGGGGCTTCACTTCCCATCCCACAGCCAGTACGCAGCCGCCGGGGCCGCCCGGAAAAAAAAAAAAAAAAAAAAAAAAAAAAAGCGAGCCCACGGCGGGACGAGCATGCGCAGCAGGGAGGGAGGCGGCGCTCGCTGGTGCCGCGGTCGCCCTGGCAGCCCATAGCGCCGCCTGGCGACCGGAGGCCGACAGTGCCGGCCGGCGAGGGCAGAAGCCGGAGCCAAGCAACTGAGTTAAACAGATTAAATACCCAGCCTGGTCGCTGACCGCGCGTGCAAGACCACAAGCATGCTTTCCCACCCTCCTGGCTATCTTGGGCTGGGTGTCAGTGTCTGCTTCCTTGCTGAGTATCACTTCTTTTAAAAAAATAATTTTTAATCAATTTATTTATTTCAGAGAGAGAGATGATGATGATGATGGGATCACCGCTATAACCAGGGCATGTGCCCTGACTGGGAATCCAACGGGGACCTCCTTCTGGTTCATAGGTTGGCCCTCAAACACTGAGCCACATTGGCTGGCCAAAGAATGCAGGGTTTTGAATCAGAATTCTGCCACTTATCATCTGTGTGATCATGAACAAGTTACTTAAACTCTGTGAGTCTTGATTGACTCATTCATTTGTGTATTCATTTATTCAAAGAATATTTATTGGGTAGCTAGGCACTGGGGATACAGAACTGAATGAAAAATACAAATTAACCTGTTCCGTTGGGCTTTCAGTCTAGCGGTGGGGAATCTTCAAATAAGATTATTTAAAAAAGTAGAACATGTTAAACTGAGATGGGGGCCCCAGAGAAAAATAAAGCAAGGGAATAGGGACAGTTTTGGGAAGTTGCATTTGCCTTAGGACCTCAAGGAGGCGAGGGAGCAAACCACCTGGATATCATCTATAAAAATATTACTGTATGTAACTACTTCAGCAACTGAATAGATGATTCAAAGAAAGTGCTCAATAGAGGGTTAGGGCTCTATAAGTGTTAGCTACTAGAGGCCTGGTGCACAAAATTCGTGTGTGTGTGTGTGTGTGTGTGTGTGTGTGTGTGTGTGTGTGTGTTGTCCCTCAGCCCAGCCTGAACCTTCTCCAATCTGGGACATCCCTCTCACAATCCAGGACTGCTGGATCCCAACTGCTCACCTCCCTGCCTTCCTGATTGCCCCTAACCTCTTCTGCCTGCCAGCCTGATCATCCTCTAACCACTCCCCTGCCAGCATAATGCCTAGCTGCTCTCCTCTGCCAGCCTGTTTGCCCCTAACTTCCCTCCTCTGCTGGCCTGGTCACCTCTAACTGCCCTCCCCTGCAGGCTTGACCACCCCCAACTGCCCTCCCTTGCAGGCCTGGTTCCCTCCCAACTGTCCTCCCCTGCTGGCCTGATCACCCACAACTGCCCTCTCCTGGCCTGATCCATTCTCCCCTGCTTGCCATCTTGTGATGGCCATCTTGTGTCCACATGGGGTCAGCCATCTTTGACCACATGGGGGAAGCCATTTTGTACGTTGGAGTGACAGTCAATTTGCATATTACTCTTTTATTAGATGGGATGAGTGTTCCTCCTTTTTGGTCAAATAATTACTGGTTTCACTCACTTCCAAATGGCCTTCCAGTTTTACATTATGATGGTTTTTACATTATGATAGAATGATGCTTCAAATAAGCTCAAAGATTTTGGTGGTTTCCCCCATGACTAGCCCATGATGAGTTGGCCCCTGCTTACTCATACAGGCTCAAACCCTGCCTGCATAGACCCCAATCTCCTAGTACCAGCCTTACTGACTTCACACTGTATACTCTATAGCATGCCCTCTCCCCTGGCTGTGTGTCTACTGCTTCTGTCCAGAATGTTCTCTCCTCTTCCCCTAGGACACTCCTATCATTCCTCTAAATCTCATTCATGTGTGACTTCTTTGAAGGCTTCACCGACTACTGACTATCTCTTATAATTCAATTATACATTTTAATAGCTTTGAGATATAATTTATATCACACAGGTGCACAATTTGATGGTTTTTTAGCGTATTTCAAAGTTGTGCAGCCATCACAATAATCTAACTTTAGAATGTTTTTATTATCCCCAAAGGAAAGAGTCTTTGTTCTTGAAACTCATGTGCCTGGAATGAAAGACAGATAATAGACAATCACTGACGTGATGGTGTTTTCAAGACTGGCTTGGTGAAGGGTGCAATGAAAGGGTTCCAGGTCATTTGGAAGTCAATTATTCCATTGAAGTTGAGTTCTTAAGCTGAAACTGACTTTTTCGCATCTTAAAACTTAATTATTTTCCACTCTTTTGTGTGAAAATGCTCCCACTGGTCTTTGAGCCGCATAAACCTACCGTACCCTGGGCAGCGCTAGGACCTGAGGTGGTCATTTGTATTTGGTGAGACAGAGGATGTGCGGTTGTCTAATTGGGTTTCGCAGGAAACAGATGCCAAAATAGACTTAGAATCATAAGAGATTTATGGACAATAACATTTGTGAAATATAAAGGGGAGTCAGCAGGGAAAGCCTTTAGGTTTTAGCACAGGTCTGACATCCATGAAAGGAAGGAAGGAGGACTGGGCAGGAAGAGCTTCAGACTGAGTAGCAAAGTTTTGGCCAGCCCAGGGGAGGGGCAGGGCTCCAGAACCCTGGGCAGAAATGGTGAGCCTTTGTACCACTGATGTGCTCGCTCAGGCACTGCAAGCTCCTACCCTGCAAGCTTAGCTTCTTCCAGAGAAGGTTGCAGCTTCCGTTAGCTCTTTATTGGGCTCTGGTATCCACTCTTTTGGTTTGGGAACAGTCTGTTCTTTTTGCAGCAAGGATCTCCATGTGACAGGGAGAGCTCAGGTATGGGTAACTGGCCCATGAGCTCTACAGGTTCAACGAGGCATCTTGGGAGCTTTGTTCACCTGGATGTGCTCAACGACCAGAGAGTCTACATCTACACCCTTATGTCCAGCATGATTCTCTGCATTTTTAAGCATGGGCAGCAAAAATTCAGCACTCTTTTTTGGGCCACTGACCCCGCATCCAGCCCCACTGTTTGGCCTGGGCACACCTACCATCTCCACCACTGTAATGACAGACGGGAACACGATGCTTCTGTAAAGTGACATCCTTTAGATAATTGGTGGATTTTTGGATATGCATACCCTTGATGGCCTGGGTAGCTTCATGGGTGTTTGTAAAGTGAACATGAATATTTGAACCTCTTGATTTGCATGTGTGTGGGTTTTTCTGGGTCAAGTGAATAGCAAACCATTTTCAGAGGTCGCCTTAGGCCACTTACAGGAAGAGTAGGACTCTATTTCTTTGTCCCTCTTATTGCTTTCCTTGTTTCAGTTTGGTGTCATTTCCCCTTATTGTAAATAGATGTTATTTACATGGCAGAGAATATGGTCACTTGAAGGTCTATCAGAACAATACCAAGGAAAGACTTAGGTTGGCTCGGTTGCTTGATCATTTCCGGGTCAGCTTTTGTGGCCCTCTTTGGTCACATGCTTTTCCCTATGGGTAGGATGAGTCTCTTACCAGAAGTTGTGGAGGAAGGGGTTTGGAGCAAATAAGAACATGAACCATCAGGTAGAAAGGTTCTGGATGTAGAGGAATAGCAAGAGGTGGTTAGATTAGAGGAGAAAAATAAATCAACAGTAGCATGAACACAAGCGAATGAGAATAATAGATGGCTGGAGTGACTTGTAGTCGAGGCAACGACCAAGAGCTGTGGAGACATATGATGGGGAGGAGGATATCTGAAATAACCTCAGCAGACGCAGAGGGAGGAAGAGGTCTTAGTTTGAATTTGTTATGCTTCCAAGAGGGCCCTAAAATGGGTCAGCATTTCCTGGGGGTTGGCACATGTTGGACACAGCAGCTTTTTTGGGGATGCTTCAAAAGGCAGCTGGGTACTCACAGCTGGCAGGAAGCACGCAGTACATCACTTACACCTGAGGAGAATGAATCATTCTTTTTGCATCATTCTGTGCAAAATGCTTTCGTAAATGGATTCTATAATTAGAAGGTCTTATGCCTCAGGGAATTTGTAACTGGTTGAACTGAGCTGATATCTTGTAGCCATCAAAAAATGATGAATGGCTCATTGCCTAGTAGAACCAAGGTCTTGGGGTGGTGGCCAAAGATTCTTTGGAGCTTTTTTTTCTTGATTGCATCAGCCTAAGACAAAGCTTACAGCACAAATGAAGACAATTAAAATGTAGACAATTCTTTGCAATCCCCCAGGCACTGTTGATATATATTAGTAATTTTAACCTTATATTAACCTGGAACATAACGTTATCCCTATTTCAAATAAGGAAACAGAGGCTCTGTAAAATAACATGTTTAGGATTTTACAACTATTGAATTTTAACTCCCAGGTGAATAATGTGAATTTTATCTTATAAAGTTTTGGAAAGAATTTACTAAAGAATAAAGATGGTATTTTTTGGAGCTTAAATGGTACAAGCCCAAGTACCATCATAGAAGGATATATGAATATATTGTTAACAACAATGACAAAATAAGAGCAACCAGTATTTACTGGATGCAAAGGGTTGTACTAAACACTATGAACATTTAATACTCATAACAACAAATTGAATTACTTTCATTTCTTTTCTTCAGAGGAGGAATATATATTACTAAACTGTTGCTATCACCACTACCATGACAAATGGGAACAGGAACAGACCATGTACACGGAATTCAATTACTAGTAGTTTATTTTAATTGGGGAAATGAGCACTAGTTCAGGGAAGGAAAGAGAAAGGGATAAGTCCCCGAGACTAAGACAAATGATAGCCTTCGTCCCTGTGAAGCAAGCCACTCACATTTCCTAAACAATTTACCAGTTCTTCTGAGCATCACTCATATCCACCAGCATTTTCTT